ACGTGGATCCCGAAGGAACCTCAACCAACTGACCAGCTAGAATAACTCCAGCGCACAACTGGCCACCCATATGTGGTGCTCTGGTTCAGACTAGATGTATTGTTAGCACCTCTTTTCCCCGTGATATTGCAATAACACCAAGATGGAGATTTCACCATGGTAACATGCCCACGGACGATAAATACGGAGCACAGTAAGATATTTGGCACTTTTAATTATACCCCTTATAAGCGGTCCGGTTAATTAGGGCCTAGATGAAATAATGGACCGATTTCAGCCAAAATCAATGGGACAAAAAATGACACGTATAGTAAATTTTATGAAATTATCTTCAAAATTATGACCGTTAGTTTGATTACAAGGTTTATACAGACGGGCGAAAATAGTTCAATAGTCCGTTTGCACCTTTTTTAAAGTGGGTGTAGGATCAATACTTTTGTGCCTTATAAACATCAGCAGAAATGCATGGAGGTCTTTTTGAGTTTGTGATGATGTTTGTAACACCTATAGTGGTATATAGGGTATAAATACACTTTTAAATTTTTGTTCATCAGCAGACAGTGACAATGAAATATTTAATATTTGTTTATTTTAGCAAACAATTTCTTTTATATTGTTTTTCATATTTAAATAATTACGTCAGTTCTTTTTCCATTACAATTATTTGACTTATTTATCTCTCCTTAAAAGTTTAGCCCACCAAACTGTTTTGGGAAATTCCATTCCATGGTTAAACTTTGCAAAAAAGAAAGTAGACTGTGTGTGGGTTTGTTGGACAAAATTATGAACAGTTTGCGAGCAGTAATGGTAAATTTTCGTATTTCTTTGTTTGTGTAAATTATAAAAGAGGCATCTAACGTTCTGGGAATTTGTTAATGGATATTAATTAAATTGTTTAGTGCAAACATTGTTGTTCATTGTTAAACAGTCGTCTAGCAATTTCATATTTTTCATTAGACTAAATAAAAGTGAAAATTTGATGGCTTAAAAAATGTGTAACATACATGTCATCGTGATGAACAAATTTGGACTAACTCATACTACTTAAATAAACAATCATTTTTGGGGTTAAATTTGTTTATGTTTTTCCATTAAAAGGTGTTATATTTCATTAAATTTTACACCTTTTTTTAAGGTAAAATATTTTTTTAACACATTTAAATGCTGTTTTAAATAGTTTTCGGTAAAACATTTCAAATTTTTTATTTAAATAACTTGCTGCTTGGGTATAAGTGGTGCCATAAGTACAACGTCAACCGAGGCTGATCGTAGATAGAATGTCTTGGTTAAGCGGAACATTAGAGCAAATATCCGTAAGATATCCGTTGCTACACGGATGGCTCTAAATTGGGGACAAAGTGGGCGTGGGGTTCTATATTAAAGACCCAGAAACAGAAATATGCCACCGTTTACCTTATAAGAATCTAGAATCCCGAGCAATAACGTAATGCGCAAATTGAATTAGAATAAATATGGCGCCCACAAGGCTTAACATATTAACATTTTGCGACAGCCAGAAGGAAATTAGGACGAAATCAGATGATAAAATTCTTGGATTTAACTTTATCATCTGATTTGATTTAAGAAAGCTTTAACCGAATACTCTACCAGAGGTAAGCTTCACATCATATGGATGCCAGGCCACTCGGGAGTAGTCGGCAACGAAAGAGCGAATGTAATAGCTTTAAAGGACAGGGAGCTCGAGGTAGTTAACCTGACGAACGCAAAGCTTTGGGGATAGAGGGCAGAATTAAAAATGTGTATGAGAGAAACCCATAAGTCCTCTTGTAGAGCCACAAAGATCTTATGGGGTGACCGTTACGGGAGCATGACGAGAAGCCTCCTCAAAATGAGCAAGTCTGAGTAGATGCACAGGATTACGGGCACAGCTATACAAAATTTTACGTGGGGACTCAATCGAATGTAGAGTATGTGAAGAGGACAGTGAAACTCTGGAGCACTTTCCTTACGATTAATTTCATTTCGATTAAATTCAAATATATTATTCCGAATATAACATCCCTCAGGAACACTAACCGGAATCGGATCGCATAATACATTCAACAATACAATATAAGGTTTTGTTTTTACCAACAAACATTTTCCATAAAAATCAGCGCACAACAGACCCGATAATGGTCCAGGTGTATTTCTTTAATTTTTATATTCAAAATGTTAGATTCTGGAGGTCAATGTCTGGTTATTTTAGTGATAAAGGTAAAGACTGTACTTTAAGATGACGAGTGGGATTTACACTTTTCCTGAAATACACACACTCAGCGTTTATTTTCCTATGGAATTTAATAATAATGTTAAATATTTGTCGTGCACATCCTTCGGATTGTTGACAAACTCATTTCATTTAGATAAATATCGAGTGCTAAATTATGAGGAGAGAAAATAAAAATGGATATAGTACGTGTTTTGATGATTAACCCAAATTTCGATTAAATTATCAAAATACCATGTATGTAATAGAACAAACATATACAAATATTAGCACTGCTCAAAAAAAGTGTGGATTAAAAAACAACTATTCAATTTAAGCCCCCTTCACACGAGCACACAAGTAATATGATCTGTCAAAATTTTGTGTAGAAGAGTACGGATGAGATCGTCTAAACGCAATATGTAATGAAACATCTTCATTTTTTGAAATGATTCAAAAAACAAGCTAGTCGCATTAGATCAGGGATGTATTGTTATGTACAAAAAAAGTGAAACAGCTGTTTCCATCTTACTTTGTTATTGTTATATACCAATCGTGTAAACACAAAAAATATAAATCATACGACTTTTATTCTCTTTTTTGTCATACGGATAGAATTCATTTTACTTTTTCATTAGACTTGTCGTACGTAAAGTGTATGTGTGTTAATAAAATATTTGTAGAAATAAGTTTTCTCATGTCTTAAATAGAAAAATCCCAAGATTTAAACAGCTTAAATCTACTGCAATTCCATGATTTATTGAACATTAGAAACGCCACTTTCATTTAAATTTTTATAGCGCCCTAAGATATGCTTTAGCGATATCTCGTATTTGCATGTATGTATGTGTGTGAAAGATTTAATGATTTTAAAAATACATACATATATATAATTTTGTTCTACACAAATTGATAATGCAAATAGTTAAATACGGTTAAAGCGCTTTTAGGGGCAGGACCTAGTATGAGAGATATGACCAAATATAGACCGATCGTGAAAAATTTTTTAAATAGCATTAAATGCTTTTTGCATTACAAAATAGTATTTATGAACAAAAATAGTATTTATTTATATCATTATTTGGTAATGAGTTATGCGCGTTTAAGGGATTTTCGGGAGGGTACCTTGTATGGGAGCTATGATCAATTATGGACCGATCGGAAAAAAATTTCACAACAATATTTCTGTGCATATGAGTAATATCTGTACCAAATTTTATATGGATATCTTAATTTAGTTATAAGTTAAGCGCGTTTAAGTGATTTTCGGGAGGGGACCTTATATGGGAGCTATGACCAATTATGGACCGATCGGAACAAAATTTCACAGTAATATTTCTATGCATATGAGCAATACTTATATCAAATTTTATTTGGATATCTTAATTTAGTAATGAGTTATGCGCGTTTAAGTGATTTTCGGGAGGGGACCTTGTATGGGAGCTATGTCCAATTATGGACCGATCCATAAAATTTTTCCTCTGAAAGAATTCTATTGACATAAGATTTTAATTTGTAAAATTTTGTGAAGATATCGGCATTGTGGCGGAAGTTATTAACAAAAAACCCATTTTCCGAGAATATGTACTTTTGTATGGGAGGTATATGAAATTGTGGACCGATTCTGGCAATTTTCAGTAGGGATGAAGATCTTGTGCAGAAACGAATGTATGGTGATTTCCATGGAATTATCTTGCATAGTTTTCGAGAAAACTACATCAGAATGTGTAAAAAATGCTTTTTTTTTTCCGAGGTTGTTTTAAATTTTGATTCATAACTTTTCCCGGTGTGAACCGATTTTGCCCATTTGCAATACCAAACAACTTAGGAAAATGAAGAACATTTTGGGTGAATTTGGTTAAGCTCTATTGCTTCGTTTTATCGTGAGCGTGTTTTACACAGACAGACGGACAGACGGACAGACGGACATAGCTAAATCGACTCAGAATTTGATAAGGACCCAGAATATATATACTTTGTTGGGTCTCAGATGAATAGTTCTTGGTGTTACACACGGAATGACAAAGTTATATATACCCTCTATCACCACTGATGGTGGTGGAGGGTATAAAAATATTTCGAGAACCATTTCAATGTAATTTACCAAAGATTTAACGATATTTGTTGGACCTTCCTATTGTATATAATTATGTATGAAGTCTGTGTGTGATAGTTTGATAATCATAAGCATGAATAAACATCACATTCTTTTTAATTTATATTCAGATGAACACACACGCTTCCATACTTAATTTTTTTTTTTTTTTTCTATAAACAATCATATCAAATGATTGTCAATAATAAAATAAACTTAAATATACGCGCACACACACACACATGCTGTTAATCTAAACAAAAATTTTATTATTATTAATAATAAAATCAAATCAAATAGGATAAAAACGAAGTGGGTGACAAAAGAAGATAGAAGTGGTTCATTATGAGATTTTCTATATGAATTTGATTATAGCCCCAACTCCAAAAAGTTTCTCAACTAAAGCATAAAATGGGGAAGTTAATCATTTAACTGTTTGTTAGGAAAGTTTAAGTTTGCCATTTTATTTTATTAATGATGTAACTTTATCACCCCCTTCCTCAGCACATTTAAACAATCAACAATCAAATTGGTCATTAAAGGGAAATCTTAATAACAATACCCTTTCCAAAATTTTTACCCCAATCCAATATAATAGATCCGGAATTAACTTCGAAATTTTTATTCAAATTGTTATAGTTCTCTTACTGGTTTCCCAAAATTTTAATAAAAAATATCTATTATCTCTCTTTCCAGCCTTCGAGGTCTACTTTCCCATGTCGGCCATACAATTAAATCTCCCCTTAAATGAAAAATCACAAAGTATATTCTCCAAAATACCCATAGGACAATTTCAAGTCCTGGCGGTCAGCAATAACAGTGTGGCCACCGATTATGTTTACAGTTTAGAAAATAATGATCTTTTAAATATAAATAGCATCACAGGAGAAGTATTCATACGAAATGATTATAAACCCATTCCAGATAAAGCCAAATATATATTAACCGCTCTCAGTAAGAGTACAGAAGATGTAACAAAAATATCACACATGTCCTTGGAACTAAAACCGTTGAGCGAACAGAAATATTGTGCCAATATGGAAAATATATGTTTTTGGTCTTCGGCTCATTACACCATACTGGAGGATGTTAATGTGGGCATTAAGGAGGATCAACAGAATTTCAAACCCATACAGATAGGTTCTTTAAATCCCAGAGCCGCTAAATATCTATGTCCTTATATGAATTTAACGTATAATCTTTTAAATGCCAGCGATCTATTTATATTGAAAAATAATCTATTATTTACACGGGCTCCTTTGGACTATGAGCTATTGAATTCAACGCATCAAACAAATCTTACGGTTGCTGTTAGTTGTCGCGTTGAGGTGGAAGAGAAAAAATTCAAAGAATTTCGTAAAAACATTAATATTCAGATAGTGGATCGTAATGATAATGGGCCGGAGTTGCAGAATAAGAAAATTTATAATTTCTATTTGGATAATCCGCATTTTAAGGAGGTAAGTTATGTTATTAATCTGACAATTTAAAGATCAATTGATATAAGTTTACAAGAACCACATAAGCATACCGAAAAAATTGGAAATTATGTAAACATTTTCAAAGGAACTTGGGCTATAAAAAAATAAGATAAATAAAAGCTGCTAGAATTTTTGTTTATCTAGTACGATCTACCAGATATCCTCACAAAAATCACTGAATTACGGTCGATTTAAAATCAAACCGAAAATTCTTAAAACAAGTACATTGCGGGATTACTTTGATTCCAAAATAACTTAACAAGAGCTAAAATTATTAGAACTTAATGGATCTACATATGTATCAAGTATTCTTTACTTCGTTTTTGAAAATACCTACTCAAAGTGTTATTAAACTCTCAAACATTTTATGTAAGAATCATAGCTCCGTTCAAGTTAGGTTAGGTTAAAGAAGGGAATCCTTATGTCGGCGTGATAACTTAAAAATATCTAATAAATGTGTCTTATGATTATTATATCCGGTATAACATGACACCCAATGTGTTTGTCTCTAATTGCTCTGCTTCGTCCGATTTTGTTAGATTTTATCGAAATGTTAACGAGGCGGGGCGGTATTCTCCAGCTACTTATTGCTAAGAAGTTACTATTGCAGATCTTATCAAATTTTAACGAGTACCGACATAGTACTAACTTTTAATAAAAAGAGTCCATTTTAGGATTGAAAGTTTAAAATTACTTCACGATTTTTAAACGATTTTGAGTATTTTAAGGTAAATTCTATAGACTTTTAAAGTACTTGAAAAATCCCGAACTAAGCAATTTTGTGCTTTTAAAACATATACAAATTTTGACTAGACTACTCACTAGTCTATGGATAAGTCTGTGAACTATTCTCTTGACTAGTCCATAGTCTCTTGGCTACGCTATGAACTAGTACATGGACTATTGAATAGTCTATTGAAAAATCCATGGACTAGTCCATTGACTAATCTATTGTCTAGTTTATAGATCATTCTATTGACAGTTTTTGGACTGGTTTATTGACTATTCGATTGCACAGTCTATAGACTAGTCTATTGATTACTCTATACTAGTCTATTGACAAATCTATTATCTATTGTATGGATTACTTTTTTGGACTGGTTTATTGTCTAATCTATGGACTAGACTATTGACTACTCTATGAACTAGTCTATTGACTACTCTATGGGCTAATCTATTGACAACTCTATGGACTAGTCTCTTGACTACTCTATCCATGGGCAAGTCTATTGACTGCTCTATGGACTAGTCTAAATGAATGTCTAATCTATAGACTAGTTTATTGGCTACACTATGGACTAGTTTATTTTATATTATGTGGATTATTATATTTACTAGTCGATGGACTGGTTTATTATCTAATCTATAGACTAGTCTAATGACTAGTTTATGTATTATTCTGTTCAATCTACTAGTCTATGGTCTAGTAAAAACTTAATACTCCTTTTTTGGCAAAATAAAACATCTTAAGCTTATGCCTTTATAAAAGAATTTTAAAATTTTAGATTTGGCTATAATTTTCCAACCGATGATCTTAACAATTCGAAAACATAGAACAACATACATAATTTGGTTACAAATTGTTTACCAGATCAAACTATTTGGGATAATAGCATAGATAAACGTACCATTATCAATCGCACGCACATTTCTATATCCACGAGCAATATCTCAAAGCGTTACAAACGAATTGACAAATTCAATATAATCTTCATCTTTTTAGATAGGGGATATAAAAAGAACATGATTAATTTCAATTTACTTGAACAACAAGGGAATTACATACATATCAACATTTAATAAATATTCTTCCTTCAACTATTAAAATGTTTATGTGTATTACAACATTTTGACGATTCAATTACATTCCTGTTTTTATTTTCTATTAAAAAAAAACATGTACAAACCTTAATTATCCTGACCCAATTTCTAACATTCTAAAAGCATTTTAATAAAACAGAATAATCACAAATACTTGATAATTTTTGGGCAAAATGTTTTTTAAACGCTGATAAAACTGGGAAATAAAACTAACCTAAAAATGTTAACAACCCACACGCTTATGCATTACGTACTACCTAAACATAAGTAGAACTTCTTTCAGGTTTTGGTGGGCAAAGTATTAAAGACCAGAGCTAGCTTTACAATTATCTATTTTTTACTCAAGAGTATAAAAATAGAACAATTTTCTTCTTTTTTGTTAAAAATGCTCAATGGAGTGAGGTTAAGTAGTAATGATTCCAAACTAAAGGAAAACACCGGTAGCGTGACGCGTTAACATTTATTACTGTTGTTGTTAGTGGTTTGTTGAAAAATAATTCTTAAAAAAATATTTGTTGTTGTTAGTTGACTTTATACAATTTTCTTCATAAATATAAACTATAATTTCAGCTTTTGTTGTTGGTTAAATATATATCAATGAAAATGGAAAATACATTTGGCAGACAAATGGTAGACATTCTGCCAAAAATAAACGGTAAAAAAAACTTTGCAGACAACAACCTAGACATGATATCAATAAAAAAAAACAGAAAACCAGCAAAAATACAACAAAATTATATTTGAATCAACAGACTTTGGTGCGGTGCACACATACAGATAAACTAAGTTTAAAAAAACAAAACGTATCCTTGAATTTTCATGACTTTGACAAAGAAAGAACAAAAAGTAAAGGTATAAATAAAAGTCAATAAAAACATAATCGTTATTAAAGTTCGATATTTTCCATTTCTTAATATGTTATAAACTTTTATGTTCAATGTAGAAGATTTGCTTAAGGGTTATTTACATACATACAGTGAATCAATTAAGTAATTTGCCTATGTAAAATTTTATAAATTTTAAGAAAAAATTTTATCTAAACAATTATTTTTAGCAAAATAAAGCAATTTGTTTGTTGTATTTTTTAAAGAATATCTTATATTTTAATAAAATACCATAAAAAGTAAAATCGTGATATTAATTAACGAGATTTTTGATCAAATGTGAACGTATTGTTAATTTTTAAGGTCAATAAAGTATTTTGCTTTTTTAGGTTTTTTGTTCATTTTTTTAATATTGCTGCATTATTTTATAAAATTTAATATTTTTATTTCTCCTATGTATTAGAATAACATTTTTTAGATATTTTAGCAGTGGAACGACTAAGTTTGGACATTTCTTAACCGATTTACTATCCTATATACCTATCAGAATTTCTTAATATTTGACTTAACATGAAATCTATCGTTTCTTTGATTTAATTTCGAAAATAATAAGTAATTTTGAATTGGATACATGATATATTAGAAAATCAATGGATTTGGAGCTAGAAAAAAATTTTAGTGGGGTATAAATCTATAGATTATAACAAAAATAATCTGGGTTTTTGGTCATTTTGTATTGATAAACAAAAACTACATTACGGAGACCCCATCTATTTGGGGAGTACTGTGTGAATTTCATTTAGAATTGTATAATATTGATTCTTATTCAATAAAGCTAACACTAAGTACCATCCTAGCCACTCTAAGTATGGGGATATCACCGTATACCACTATAGAACTATTACATGCTAGAATCTTGATATTCTACCTCATATTTTGAATGCATTATTTTATGAATAAAATACAGTAGGCGTAGTTGGATTTGGATAGTTATTCTTGATTTGGATTCTAACTATATATAAGTGTATGTATTAGCTGAAAAATATTGCTTTTGTGGATCTTAGGTGATGAGAACAGCCTCTATTTGTAAATATCTAAATTAAGTATTTTTCCCGTACCACACGATAATTCACTTTATATTGTTTCCAAGCAACCTAAGGTCTGTTTAGAGGTCCAAATTTAAACATAGTGTTCTTTTAAGTTCGTATATGGACTTTGGAGAAGAAAAATGAGGACTTCAATGGTTTTTGCTTGGATACACGTCGCTCTCCTTTGGCAGTTAAAGATTTTGAAAGACAACTCAGTGCGTTTTTTTTAATAATTCTTTGTGTTATTTCATCAATTTCTATATTTTATATTTTTTAATGTTTAATGATTGATTAAACATCTCATAATTGAATTTCATTGATTTATACTTGTTCTAAAAATCTAAACTAATTTTTTATATTGGAATTGCCTCATTATTTCCCTTTAAACATTTTTGACGCAAATAACTACACAGTTTCACACAATAAGGATATGATTTTTGAAAATTACAATTGAAAAATACTTAACACGTGTCCTTTTAACAATAAAACAATAAATTCCAAAATGCAATTAAAAATAATTTGAAAAACCCAACGAAATTAACTGGAAATTTCAATATGCAAAATACTTTATTGACGTGCAAATTCTGATGAAAAATAATAAAATGCAACAACAAATGCACCAAAATTTTTATTTTTATATTTTTTCCTGGTTTTCCCATTCTACATAATCTCTATTTTCAATTGGAAAACATAAATTTACTTTTTACCTATTTTTTTGAATTTTATTTATGAACAAAAAACAAAATTCTCTTAAAAAAGGTAGGCAAAAAACTTAGTTGATTCATTGTACATATATAGAAATGCATTCATTTCCTTGTCAAATAGATTCAACATTAGTTATGAAAACTTTTTTACAAAAAATTAACTTTTTGGGTTTTGGACATTAAGAAACTGGTCACAAAATTGGAATAATTGTTTAACAAATCATTCAGTATATATCTTTATTTACTAGTTATAAGTAAAGTTAGATTGCATAGGTTAGCATTAGGTAAGAAGTACATGGGAGATGTAATATCTGGAATATCTTTATTCATCTGAATCCGCCAGTAAACCTGCATGTCCCTTAAAATACGTTATAGTAAACTAGAACTTGTTCATTGGCGTTACCCAATAGAATTTTAATGGTTCTATCTACAATTATTCCAAGTGGCCGTATGGAATTTTATCGCCCATATCTTTACATAAGCGCTGGCGGTTATCCATTTACAATATCTGACAATTCCCAGCCATATCAGTTTCCAGTATGCTATCAGTTACATCTATTGTTTGTGTATACCAGTGCAATATATCCTTCCCCCACAATCATTTTACCTTGATGATCTTTCCCATCTACAGTGATGTCAAATGTATCCCGGCCTTTCCTTGGAATGATTTGACATGGGGTCGGACCAAAGAGCCATATAATATGGTATCACGGCAGCGTTTTGGACTTGTCCCAGTTATTGGAGAGGTCCCTTCGGGGTGCACTTGGTGGCTGAAATTGAGCATAAGTTCGGCGATTTTGCCGAAGGAGACAAAAGATACCATGCAGAGGAGTGACTGTGGGGCTGAGCGTAGAGAATGTATTGGTGACAAATGTATGAGATCCAGAACGAATAAATAAGAAGTGTACTGGGTTGAATGATAATGGTATCTTATACAAATGACACCTTAGAATTTCTCTTCCTTGTCAGGATGTGTTCAGGGTTTGCTTTGTTCATACCAGACTTAAAACGGTGTGTTCTCTATGGGAGTAAGAACATGTCTGTGTCTATCGATTACGTCTCTAGGTGCTGCTGCCAAATCAACAGAAAGTGATGAAGGTGATGTTTTTGCATCTCAAATGATATGTAACGAGGCCTCAATGGTCAAGAGGTTAGATTGCATGTGTAAGAAAAACACAGTTGCCGTGTTGGCTCATCTAATGGCTCACCCTGCGTTTGTCAAAGTACCACTAAAGTACCACGTAAAGCAATTCTAAAGACAAGAGTTGCGAGTGCGCCACTCGTTTCTTACATAAGTTTCGATCGGAAGAATGTGCAGCCATGTTTATAAAGTTTTGGTCGACATGTACACTGAATTGAATGTATTATGTTATGTATTACTTTTTGTCCAAAGCAGTCCACCAGATTATTAATCTAATTACGCTTTATAAAATGTGTCATAGTTGGTCTAAGACGCCATTTCCAGCTTAAAGTTCTCCTACATCCGCACACCGATATACTTTGTTACTTCTATCATCCTTGTAGTATTTCCATTTTAGTTTCCGAATAAGGATTATACCTAGGTGTTTAACTCTGTTGATCCTTGATATCGTCCTGTCCAAGAACTGAGTGTCAGAAATTTTGTACTTTTTGTGAGAAGTTGGATTGCCAGTTTAAAGACTTAATCGAAAGACTAATGACAATCTTGTGGTCTTCGTAAAAAACCCATTGGTCCTTCAAAACTAAAAATTAAGAATTATATAATTCGCTACTTAAATTATTCCAGTTGCATTATAGTATGATAAGTTCCGATATTTTAAAAGTAATTAAAAATACATAATTTAAGTATGGATCCATAAATTACACCAATCTTTGCTTTAGATCTAACAAGGTACTTGTTCTTAGAATTTCACGATATTACGTGATATAAGATGATATACAAGATTTCGAATCGAATTCGTACTTGTTTTCAAAGTTCAAAACATTCTCAATAGATTTGCATTAAGTAAGGGATTTTGATATGGTCCTAGGAAAATATTTTCAAAAGCTCTGATAGAATTTTTTAATTAACACAATGCAGAATTGAAAATGGAGGTTTCACAAATGGCAAAACATGATTTTTACATAACTCGATGAGTTCTTGAATTCAAATCTATGTATATTCCTAACCCTTTGCTTGTTATTGAATAAATGTGGTTGTTCAGCAGACTTAAACTAAAAGGGCACGATAAAGTTTAATAAACTACAAAAACGAGGTGATTAATTATACAAAAAAAGGCCTAATGTACTTGGGATTTGTAGTTGGATATTAGGGATTTACAGTTGTCTAATATTTGGCCAGTCTTCCATAACACATTGCTTATATACAAACAAATGCAGACACACATATGTTTAAGTAAATACTAGATTTTTTCATAATTTTTTTCTACAGTCTAATATTTTTATGCACAAGCACGTAATTAAATAAAATATTTCAATATTAAGTTAACGTTCATATTAAAATTTCATCACATTTCCTTTTAATTACTTAAACGTTCAGTAAATTACTTGTTGTTAAGACATTCCTATGAGAAAAGAATTTAACCCAGTTAATTATTACTGACGTAGTTATGTACTATGTATTTAAAAAATTAAACAACACATGTCAATATAAACAAAATCTACAACATGTAAACTTAAAATAAAATTGACCTTGTAGTTAGTACGTGCGTATAGTTGAATGGTCAATGGTCAACAGGCGCAGCGTAATATCCTTTACGGGAATAAAAGTATTCCTTGAGGACTTTATGACATTTTCTTTTAAATAAAACCCTAAAATTGGTTAAGTATTTAATTATATGTACATGGTCTCTGGCAATGTGTAGTTTTTTTTAGAAAAAAGAGGTGTAATTTAATTAACTAAATACAAACAATATTTTGTTAACCTAGTTAAATAGTATTACTCTCTTTTAGAATGACACCATTGGCGAGAAAATAATCTTTGTAGACAAAGACTCTATGGAAACGAATGCTCATCAAACTTATAAAATTTTGGACGATACAAATGATTTGGTGCGACCACTGTGTAATGCCTACGAAGCTGATCACACGGGAAAAAGGAGTTCTATAATAAGTTGTCGTAAGTTAATTAATTTAAATTTTATAAGTTTTAAAGCTTTTAAAACATTACATCCTGAGGATTCATAAAAATATTTTTAAGGACAGTTTCGAACTAGAAAATTTCGAAAATAATTTAGGTTAGGTTAATAAGAGGATTTACATATACACATCAAATCCGAAAAAAATACGCCTGTTGTGTGATGTTTAGAAACATAGTTTCCTCGACGCAATTCCTAAGAATTACTCACAAAATATTTGGATATAATTTCACGAAAGCCTGACAATGTCAAAGAAAGTGCTCCAGATTTTCACTGTCCTCGTAATCCTGTGTGTCCACTCAGAAAGACCTTATAGGATTATAGGTTAAGTCAGGTTAACTACCTCGAGCTCCCTTCCTTTTAAAGTGACCTGGTACCCATATGATGAAACCTTACTTCTGGGAGAGTATTCGGTTAGAGCTATCTTAAAATCCAATACGGTCTTAAATTTAACTTTATCACCAGATATGACCCTAATTGCCTTCTGGCTGACGGTAAATATGTTTATTATAAACCAATTTACGCATTCCGTTATTGCTCCGACTTCTGCCTGGAAGCTAGTGTTGTGATTAGGTAAACGGGGTTTCTGGGTCATCAATATAGAACCAAGGCAAACTTTGTCCCCCAATTTAGTGACATCAGTGTATCAACGGATTCCTACGGATATTTGCTCTAATGTTCTGCTTGACTGTGACATTCTATCAAAGTTTCCTACATGTTCTGTGTCTGGGATGCGATTGGGCACGTCCGATGATTGTGTCCAGCATACATTGATGACAGGCCTATAACAGCTATTGTCCAGTTTGCCTAAAGTTATGAGCCGTTCTGCTGTAAGTGCCGCCTCATATTTTATATATGTATGTTTCAATGGGTGGAATATCTAGCAACTTTCCACAGCCATTTTAATTTCCGGTCAAGGATTACACTTAAGTACTTAACTCTGTTTGTCACCGGTATCTTCTTGCCCAGGAAACAGGGTTTAATATACTTGGAAATTTGTATCTTTCTTGTGAAAAGGTAGATTTCCATCTTCGCCGGGTGAATATTGAGCCATCTCGGTTGAACCAAAGACGTATTCCGAGTCACTTCAACTCTTCTACACAAGTAATTCGGATTAAACGTTATTAAAGGCCCATTCAATATCAATGCATACCGCCAGTTTGCTATCGAAGGATTCACCTATATAGGTAGTCGACAACTTCATTTAACGCGATTTCTACCGATCGTCCCTTTACATAAGCATTCTACTTATATTTGAGGCCTTTAATTTAAAGAGTTTTTTAAAATATATCGTGAAAATTACAATTTAAATTCGAATATTATTCGATAGTTTTTGATCCAATTAAATATTTTAAAAGAATAACTACATAACAAATTAATTCGATTTTCAGAAATTGTTTTTGCTCGAAATGGAATTCTCAGCCAACCATCGTACTGTTTTATATTAGAAGCCACCGATAAGACAATTGATATCCATGTCCCTAACACTGTAAGTATTACTTTTAGAGAAACTGAAAATCAAAATAAATTCAACTATTTTTTTCACAAGGCCAAAGCCCATATTTGCATTAAGTCCGATCCTAGTAAAATACACGAAGCAGATCGACCCAAAGCTTTAGCGTTGAGATCACGGCACCATCGTAAATCTAATGTAATGAATTCTGAAGAATCTATATTGAATTCAGATGGTTTTGGTCGTACCATCACACGCAGTATACTCAGTACTTATCCTAAAGATGCGTATGTTTATCGTACGGCCCAACCAATGTATCGGGTAACTCAACCTAAAGACTTTTTGGAATTGATGAAGATGCCCGAACTGAAATACACCATAGTAGAGGATCGTAGTAAAGCTTTCGCCATAACATCGGTGGCTGGTATTATTTATGTTAAGAATACAACAGCTTTGGAAAATGCTCCCGAAATTGTGTATTTGTAAGTTTTATTTTGTAAATAAATGTTAACTCCAACCTACTAATAACATGTTTTATTTTAGCCTCAATGTTTCCTGGCATGATACCCATCAGCGTTCGTTTGTGATAAATGTTCATTTGGTAAATGGTCGTCCCGACAACACCACCTGTGAACACAAAGTCAAATCTAGATCACAGACTTGTGCTCAAATCAAATACGCCTCTCAATGTGTTAGATTTTGTGGTCTTGCCACTAATGGGAGTAGCTGTGTTTGGCGTGGTTCTAGTGCTGGATTCTTTGGTCGTAACTATAAATCTTGTGTGCCAAATCCAGAATTCTGTCCCGATAATATCTGTGATCCCTTGGAAGAACTTAATACTGCTGCTTGCCCCCAAGATTGTACACCTAGCAATAAGATTATGGGACCTCACTCAACAAATGAAAATCGTCGAGGCATACTCTCGGCCTCGGGTACTTGTACATGTGAGGACAATGGCAAATGTTCTTGTGCACCTTTAGATGATGAAGAACCCAAGCCGAAACGTAAGCGAAAGAATGATACCAGATCGGAAAACTCAGCTGACAAGCTAGAGAGCCCAATTTATAATCTAAACGCGCAGAAAACTGATAAAGGTCCTCTTGGAGAAATGCTAAATTTAGCGGGCTGGGAATGTGATAATACATGTGTGATAGTAGCCATTACTTGCCCCATGATTTTCATAACACTAATCATATGTTTGATTCTAACCAAGAGAAGTTTCAACAAACGGTCCTTCAGTAAAGAGAGTGTTACTAATAAGAAAAAAGATCATTTATCAGAATGTGATGTTAAGAATGGAGATTTGCCTCTAATGCAATTGGATAATAGTTTTAAATTTGATAGTTCCATTGCCGATAGCAAGTGGGAGTTCCCACGTGAATCATTGGTCTTAGATTGTGTTCTAGGCGAAGGTGAATTTGGCAAAGTAATGAAAGGTTATGCCACCGATATAGCCCAACGTCCAGGTGTTACTACGGTGGCGGTTAAAATGCTTAAGAAGGGCGCCAATTCTGTTGAATACATGGCTTTGGTGTCCGAATTCCAGCTGTTGCAAGAAGTTTCCCATCCAAATGTTATAAAACTATTGGGAGCTTGTACTAAAGGTGATGCTCCCATGATAATTATTGAATATGCTCGCTATGGTTCATTACGCAGTTATTTACGTTTGAGTCGTAAAATCGAAAGTGCCGGCTGTGAGTTTGCCGATGGCGTGGAGCCAGTTACAGTGCGTAATATTTTGTCGTTTATTTTGCAAATATGTAAAGGAATGATGTACTTAACGGAAATTAAGGTAAGATTTTCAATTTTTCACTAGTTTCCTTAACAAAAAGTCGAATTTATATTTAAAATTTGCATGAATTTTTCCTTATTTCCGTGGTTTCATTATATAGTTTTTAAATTCGAATATAATTTCGAAATTGAGTTTGGAATTTTGTTCTTAAAGCTAATAAATAAATTTTTTTGGTTCTAATGTTGTAGTTGGTTCATCGTGATTTGGCCGCCCGCAATGTGCTTTTGGCTGAAGGTAAAATATGTAAAATATCTGATTTTGGTCTAACACGTGATGTCTACGAGGATGATGCTTACTTGAAAAGATCTAGAGATAGAGTACCTGTTAAATGGATGGCTCCCGAATCTTTGGCAGACCATGTTTATACCACTAAATCAGATGTTTGGGCATTTGGTGTTCTATGTTGGGAATTGATCACTCTGGGAGCATCACCTTATCCCGGTATACCACCACAAAATCTGTATCATTTACTTAAAAATGGTTATCGTATGGAAAAGCCTGAAAATTGTTCAGATGAAATGTAAGTTTGAAAACACTGAAAGAAAAATTATTTATAAAACTAAACTTTGTAATTTTCTCAATAGCTATAATATTGTTAAATCCTGCTGGACAGATGAGCCAAATGCCAGACCCTCATTCAAGTACTTGGCTTCAGAGTTTGAAAAACTATTGGGTAATAATGCCAAATATATAGAATTGGAAACAAATGCCTTCTCCAATCCCAACTACTGTCTCGAAGAGGAGGTAACCAAAGAGGCCTCTAATATAGAGGAAACCGATTTAAGTAAACCCACTAATTTACAATGGGGTGAACCAGAGCCCTTGGATCATCTATGGAGACCACCCAAAATAAGTTATGATTTACAAGATTGCTGTAATAGTCGTGATACTACAACATTCTCTAGCAGTTTTCAGCCACCACCCGGTTATGATATGCCAAGACCTCTCTTGGAAACTCATACAACCGAACAACGTTTACGTTATGAAAATGATCTCAGATTTCCACTCAACATACGTAAAACATCTATGGCCGAGCCCATGAATAATATACAGGCTTCGTATACATTGCCGGTTAAACGCGGACGGTCATATATGGATATGACTAATAAAACATTGCTATGCGATAATTTAGATAATGATGATTTCGAAAAGCATATTTCTAAAACAATTTCATTTCGTTTTTCCAGTCTTTTGAATCTAAACGAACAGGAAGATAGTATGGCTTAGATGTTGAACAAAAAAAAGAATTCTTTGCGAAAAGAAAACTTAAAATATTCTCGAGTAAGAGATAATTTCTTGTCACTTTATCTTTTTTAGGGAAATTATATAGTTTTGAGTCAAATATATCGTTTTAGTTTAACTTTTCGATATACCAAAGTTACTGGCTTTAAAATAGTTTTCCATAAATGAAATCTCTTAATTAAATATATAGACTATTCTTTGATATACAGCCCTATTCTGCATTTCAATCCGAATCGCAATTTTCTCCGTTTTGGCAACTTTAATATTCTACTTTGATAACAACTTGAAAAACGTAGCAACGATCGCCATACAGATTACACATCGAAATTCAGAATATGGGTTATCTTTTGTCTCGACGTTACATAGATAAAACTTAATTGTGCCAAATTTTTTTCTATAAATAAAATTTTATTTTTTTATAGACATACATACTTACTTATCTATGAGATATAGAAAAGAGTTTTCCTATACCACGAACATCTTTGACATCGGGAAATCTTTGAAATTTTAAAACGATTTGTCTCAATTTCTATAATTTTGGCATAAAATCTTGCATTTCAATACTTGAAAGGTATTTGAAAAAACATCTAAAATAAAACAAAAACAAAGTAAAAATTTTAAGTTTTTTTGTTTAAATTTGAGATTGATATATAAAAATGATAAATTTTAAATCAAAACAATACTTGAGGGGTGTAGAAACAAATGATCTTATCCAAAGACTTTAGCTACAATTTGCCAGCAAACTTTTGGCTAAATTTGTTTCAAACTTGTTTCAGTTATTCTTCTAATTCCATTATATTAAGGGAGTAGGAAAACTAAAATATAAATATCTTTGGAAATAAAGTTTTATCATATTCATTTCGAAAATTACAGAAATGGAGATTGCTGCCTTTGTTTCTACACCACTTACTTAGTTAAATAATTAGCAAAATGCCACATTTCAAATTCGAATGAATTTCCATGAAAATTTTTTAATTTAGTTTTTTAAAGACTGTTATTATTTAATATATTTTAGTTTTTATATACTTTACTTTTAAAAAAATATTATGTTGAAACTGTTGATTAGTATTAGTTTATTGTTATTGTTTAAATTTAATTCTTTTGCACACATAAAACATAAAATACTCTTTGCCCATGAAAGAAAATATTCTAATTTAAGAAAAATAATTAATAAAATTTGTCAAAAATAAAACATATTAATAAGAATGAAGAAATTAAATAAATTATGAATGTAAATTGTATTTTTTTTTTTTTTAATTAATATTTATAAAATTTTATAAACAAATTAAATTTTTTAATTTTTTTACTTTTATATTTTAGCAAAATGATTAAATATCTTTTGCAAATTCAAGCTTGCCAAAAACAAATGTTTTACTTTCCATAGATTTAAGTTAAACTTTGTAAATATATTTATTTATAGATTTAATAAAATATACACAACTATTAAATATGTATTTACGCTTAAATAAAATAATTATGTACATACATATAAATGCTGTTGATTTTTAAATTTTATTAAATACTTATTTTCCAGAAATTTCAAAAGATCTTGCTTTTAAGAAGGGTGAATGTCACATGTAAATTAATTTTTTTCAGAAAAAAACACCAAAATTGTTTTCAAATGCGTATTTATTTGTTCCATGTTAAAATGAAAAAAGAAACGACACATAAAATTCATAAAATATTAAAAGTAAATAATACCACTTTACAAGTAAAAGCAAATAATGAAAAAAAATATATATACTTTAAAAACTCGAACAACTTTTTGATCAGAATGGCGGCTAAAGCTCTAACAATCACTGCTTCTTAATCATCTGGAACGGCTAAATTTAAATTAGCTTTACCCGATACAGAACCAATAAACATTTCTTCGTCACCACGCAGAGACAAGCCCTCACTGCCGTCGCATACCTTGCGTTCACGTATCATACCGCAACGTTCCCAACGTGAACCTTGACAATTTTTGCAACTAACTTTGGGTAATTTAAAGACAGACACCGTACGATTACCACAATCTTTGCACTGGAAGAAACGCTTCTCTGCATCGACCACCTTCAGAGGATGACGTTCAGCTTTACAACGTTCCGAGGCAGATAATGCAGTATATTTGCAGATTTTACAAATTACCGCTTTGCAGGGCATTTTATAAGTATTTAACATTTTCTCCTCCAAGGCCTCCTTCTTTTCCAATTTACTAAAGTATTTATCCTGTTCCTCACGCTCACGCATATCCACCAGGTTGGTGTGCGATGAAGAGGCATCCATAATACGTTGTATACGTGTTTTACGCTCTTGTTCTCTATGTTCTTCTTCGAGTTTTTGTTTCTTAGATTCATGTGACATAAACTGTTCATTGAGGTCATCTATGGCGCGTCGTTTGCCATCGCGTGTTCCTCTTGTAGAGTTGGGATTCACTTTTTCTATGGGTTTTTTCTTTAGAACTTCTAATGCCTTCATTTTCGCCAGCTGAGCTCTTCTATCGCCAACATTAACTTCTATGCAAAAATTATCTTTGGACAATTGTGGTGATTTCGAGGTGCTGGCAAAGGAAAACTCACGATTTTTAAATTTGTCTGGTATCGCTGAAATTGTTGGCGTAGAAATGGAAGGGGCTGCTAATTTTGAATTCGAACAGGGAGTGGAAGTTTGCGAGTTGGCAAATATAGATTCTCTAGTTTTTTGTGCTTGAGGTGTCGTGGGTGTCGGTGAGTTGTTTCCGTCCAAACTTGTAGAATGTTTTTCAGATTCTGCCTGCAGAATCTTTAATCTTTCCAAGTCCTTCATACGCTGCTTGGCTGAAGCTTCAACATTGCCTGCTATTTTTGAAACTGGACCTTCTCGGGATGCATAAGGAACTGTAGCTGCTTGTTGTGCCCTGGATTTAGAGGCATGATTAACACTACCAGCAAAGGGTGATACGGCATACTCCGATAGAGAACTTATTCTAGAATTGTCTTTTTGTGTTAATTTTGCACTTTTTCTTGCCGGCACTGCCGAAAAAGATTGGCCACCATAAAAAACTTCACTTTTACCAAGTACCTTATTGCGCAATTCATTTAAACCTCTACCAGCATTAGCTGATTGCAACTCGGAACGTTTTGACATTTTACCAAACTCTTGTTTCATGTGAAATATACAGCAATCACATTCACTGAGATTGATTATGGCATTGCATATTTCTCCGTTGCGTTTAGTCGCTTTGCAGTTACCCATATCTTTTGACTGGCCCAGTACCATCACCTTCTGGGCGGTGTCTATTGAAAGGCAAGCAACATCTTTACTCTCAGCTCGTTTTTCAAATATGCTGGGATTCAATACGGCAATACACATGCCCTGCGCTGTTTTCCATAGTTCTTTATGAGCGCCTCTAAAGAGAAACAATGACACAGTCTTAATTTCACCTCTCAAGTCGGACAAACGCCAAATAGAATAGGGTTGATCTTTCTTACTCATCTGGACGGGACTTTTGTGCACAAGAACACCGGCTATAACCCAATCCTTAGAAAGATCTCCTCTTTCAGTATGAAATGCTATAGCAGAGAATGCCACTGATTTGCGACCACTCATACGTTCTGTAAGCAAAGTACTAGAAATCAGAGGATTTATAATACGCATACCGAAAACAGGATCAGTGTAAACAGAACTGGTACCTCCGTTAGTGGGCAAAGAGCGCCTGTCCTTATTTTCACCAACATGTACAGCAGCCTTTGTTTCCGGCATTTTCTTAAAAGAGTCACTTATAAGAGATTGTCGCTTAGTAGGATGATGTGGATTTTTAATATGCATAGACAAAGATTTAGCGCTTTCAGCGGCATCATTACTTTTATCTTCCTTCAGAAATTTGTCGATTTCATAGTCAGCTTTTGATTCTTTTGCTGCTTGCTTTTGTTGTTTCAGTTTTTTGTTTATATCACAGCCATATTCATTGTACTTACGTTCTAAGAAATTCTTTATTTCTTCATCATCGGATGAATCTAATTCCTCCGTTTTACTAGCCACCTGTTTTTCTATTTGCTTTGCGAGTTTCTTGTCCACTTCATAGCCGAAAGCTTCTGCGAAAGTACTATCTTCTTTTAATTGAGGTCGTGGTTTCTCTACTGCTTTGGCAGGCAATACATTTTCCTGTTCAGCCTTTTTTTCCTCTTCTTCAGCTTCGGCCAGAATTTTTTCGAGAGCCATAATTTCGGCATCATCATCAATAGATTCGTCATGGTTACTTTTCTCTTGAGGAGTCATTTTTTTCACAATGCTTCTTTAAACCTTCATTAAACTATGTGAATTTGTGTCCAGAAAACGAAATCAACAACAGAAAATGAAATAAATAAAAATTTTTGGCGCTATTTTTTATTAGTGTTGATCCCAAAGACCAGTGCCGACAAATATTAACGGCGCCGGCGGGTGACACTAAAAATGTCGTCGGCGGCTTAAAATCGACTGTAAGCCGGCTAAGTTTTCGGTTATTTTTAAATTTTCAATGATTTTAAATAATTGAAAGTGAAATCCGAGAGATTTTCAAAGCAAATATTTAAAAAATAGGGATTGTCTACCACAGTAGAAAATTTTTATATTCGTAATACTATTTAATTGATTTCTCTCGTTTAACTCATTTTCACAAGACTTATTTTTTTTCTTTGTGTTACATATTTTTACAATAAATTTTGTATGACATTACAATAAATTTGGTATTTACATGCATAAAAATCAATCATTCATCTAACAATTGTTTAAAGATATTAAAAAATCACTATTATTTAAATTAAATCATATTTTAAATATACTCGTAATTGGTGTAGGGTCCATATAATATGGGTCATGCATTTTATTTGACCAATTTTTTCGTTAAACATAATCATTAGTTAACAAAATGTTTTGGCAATTAAAAGTTCACGTTAATAATTTTATATTTTAAAAATATTTCAATACAAAATTTTTGACATTCTCATATTTTCCGATCATTGTCGTTAAATTATTCTAATGTCGTTAAAAAGTTAGAGAATTGAAAATTTGTTAATGCAACCGATATTTGTCGTTATATTACGATATCTGTAGGTAAAATTAAAACATGTATTACAGAATTGCGGTACTGAGGTTTTTTAAAAACTGATTTCAATATAGATACAGACAAACAGACGGATATGGATAAATCAACTGAGATATCTATAAAGACTTTATAGAGTCGGAAAATTATATTGTAGAAATTACAAACGATATGACAAACTTATATATAACCTTCTCACGAAGGTGAAGACTATAAAAACAACAAATTTTATTTTTAGATCTGAAAATTAATATTTCTAGAAGAAAAACACACACCTCTAGAAGAAAATCTCTTAACAATAAATTTATAATTTATTTTATATATTTTTATTTACAGTGATAATAACGTTTGAGTAAATTGTGATATATAATAAAAGTTATTCACCATTCACCTGCAAATCTATGTTATTCAAATTCATGATCTAAATCCAAGAATACCTTGCTATGAAAATTCTGTTCTATTAGTTTTTTATATATTTCCCATCTTTTTGATATTTTCCACTGTGTTTCGTTCATAAAATACAACTCTACTTTGATTAGTTTTAAAATTTTTAAATTTTGACATTTACATTTAGGCGCCATTGTTGCTTCACACTAGCTGTACTCTTTTAACTTGCATGAATAACGTTATTTTCCATTTTTTTTCTTATTTTGCTTTATTTATATTTTTCGTTTCCATTTCATTTTGATATTGCATTTCATCGGCTTTTTATCTTGTTGTTCAATGGTGCTAACGCTAGGTTATCGAAAATCGCTAAATATGTATTCAAAAATAATTATATAAATTTCAAAATTTTTGTAAGGCTTAAAAGGGTGAAGTCGATATCGAATCTGATTATTTTTCCTTACTTGTACTTATTGTTAACTACGAGAGGAAAATTTGACAGCCCCATCCAGCAAAAATAACCAAACCATTCAAAGGTACAATCCGATAAATATCGTATGAATGTCAAATTTTTTATACTTAGTTTGACATTCGTACATTTTAAGTCAATATACCATAGACTTCTATCAAAAATTTACAAACAGTTTGCCAGAACCATTCAGTCTATAATCTAAAGACTATAATCTAAATTGTAAGAAAATACA